CACCTGCAGCCGTCCACCCCTGGACACCACGGCCCTCCTACTGGACCACCCATGAGGGCTGGGGAAGCCTGGCTCGGGACCCACTCCCAGCCGCCCAGCCCGGCCTGCTTACCCCGAGGGGCTGGGGGAGCCGCTGCAGGGTGGGGACGGAGACGGGGTCCGGCCGTGGCTCTCCAGGCCAGCGGAGGCCACCAGGGAGCTCCTGGTGGGAACAGAGCAGACAGGCAGCTAGGCGTGCGCAGCCCCTGGCCCCGTCCTGGGGTCGCAGAAGACTCGGCCCTCCCCGAATCGCCTGACCCCCACGGGGCAAAAGAACCACCCGTGAGCCCACACTTCCTCCCCAGAGGCGGCTGGGGGCCTACCCGCTGCACATCAGGCTGTCCGGGGGGGGCTTGCCACCGGCTGCCTCGGCCACCAGGTCACCTGCGGACAGGAGACAGGCAAGGCTGGGCCCAGTCAGGAGTGTCCCCTCCCTCCCCGGCCACCTCCCCACAGGCCTCCCTGACAGCCCACCCTCAATTCAACAGAGGGGGCTGCAGGCAGGGCTTCGTGGACAAGGCGGAGACGGGTCTGTGCCCACGGGCACCCCGCCCACACACACTGTGGCCTGACCTGGGAACTGGGCCGGGACCATGACGAAGTCATCGGTGTCACAGGACGAGTCCTTGCTGCTGCCGCCCGAGTCCCGGGAGCCCTGCAGGAAGCCGGCGGCCTCGGCGGGGGAGGTCAGCGTCTTCTGCAGCTGCTGCATCTCGCCCAGGGACTGGGTCAGAGGGAGGCCACTGAGTCTGGCCAGGCCCAGACACGGGGCTGACGCTCTCCCCCCGGGACCACGCCGCCCCTTCACTTTCTGAGACGCTGGGTACGAGGGCACAGGCACGGGCGGGGCTGCGGGGGCAGGTGGTCAGGTCCCCTCCCTGCCCTGCACACCGCCCCCCCCAACCTGGTGTTGCCCAGCACAGAGGGACCAGGGACTGAAGAGGGGGCACCCCCACACCAGCTGCACCCAGGCTGGGGGGTGAGGCCTGGGCCGGGGGCGTGGGACCCTCAGGGACTCACACTTCTTCACTGAAGCGCTGGCGTCAAGGAAAGGGTGACGGAAAAACTCATCTGCAGGAGGGGGAGGGGGAGGGGGAGCGAGACCTCAGGACCCAGCCTGGGGTTTCTGGGGTGAAGGACCCCCCGACCCCCAGCTGGCCTGGCCCAGCGCACAGACAGAGCCCGGGTGGCTCCTGCTTGCCTGGCCCAGGGCCCCGCCCCCCCGGCCTGGGCTCCCCGCAGAGC